CAGCACTGCCTGGTGCTTGCTGGGCTGGGCTTTGCCTCACCAGGCTCTGCAGGCCCAGTGCAATGCTCTGCTGGGAATTTAACCCGTGGTCGGCACTGGATGCCCACACACCCCTCCCTTCTCAAGTCAAGGTGATCAGCTTGGGAACTCACACAGGAAAACCTTTCTATGTCCTGTCAAATCAACCAGCCAAGGAAGAGATCAAATCACAGGGTGGAGTCACCTTCAGAATTATTTACACTGTCCTTCAAACAGTGATGAACTCAAGCTCCTTTAAAATGATTTGATTTATGGGCCGGGTGTGATGGCTCACGCCTATAATCCCAGCACTTTGGGAGGCCGAGGCAGGTGGATCACGAGGTCAAGAGATGGAGACCATCTTGGTCAACATAGCGAGACCCCGTCTCTACTAAAAATACAAAAATTAGCTGGGCATGGTGGTGCGTGCCTGTAGTCCCAGCTACTTGGGAGGCTGAGGCAGGAGAATTGCTTGAACCCAGGAGGCGGAGGTTGTGGTGAGCCGAGATTGTGCCATTGTACTCCAGCCTGTGTAACAAGAGTGAAACTCTGTCTCAAAAAAAAAAAAAAAAAAAAGATTTGATTTACACAAGGTTTTTCAGAAGCGCAGATTTATAGGGAGAGGTGCCTGGAGGGTCTCAGAGTTACAGAGCTGTCCTAGATAATGGTCCCAGCCTGGCTTTGCTCCCCACTCACTTGGGGCCTCTCAGCCCAAGCTCACCTGAGTCCCTGGCCCTGATCGAGAAGGAGAGGCAAACTATCCCACATACAAACTCACTGTATCATTTCACATAAATGTTCTACATAGATGCTTTTTCAAGTGACAACTGGGACTTTGTTATTAAATATAATGTATTAAGGACAGGTGTGGTGGCTCATGCCTGTAATTCCAGCACTTTGAGAGACCAAGGCAGGCAGATCAGGAGTTCGAGACAAACCTAGCCAACATGGTGAAATCCCGTCTCTAATAAAAATACAAAAATTGGCCGGGCATGGTAGCGCATGCCTGTACTCCCAGATATTGGGAGGCTCAGGCAGGAGAATTGCTTGAAATTGGGAGGTAAATGTTGCAGTGAGCTGAGATTGCGCCATTGCACTCCAGCCTGGACAACAGAGCCAGACTCTGTCTCAAAATAAATAAATAAATAAAATGTATTTTTAGACTACCCAGTTTTCTATAGTGGTCAGTGGTGTATGAGGAGGGAGGAAAGAGGGGTGAAAGGAGAGGGAAATATATCAGAGAGATGGGCAGAGGTGACTGGGTAGGGACAGAGCAAGGCTAGGGTAAGGGAGGCAGTTGAAGATGAGAGCAGACACTCACATACGCCCTTAAAAAGAGAAGGCCCGGGCCAGCGCAGTGGCTCACGCCTGTAATCCCAGCACTTTGGAAGGGCGAGGCGGGCAGATCATGAGGTCAGGAGATCGAGACCATCCTGGCTAACACAGTGAAACCCCATCTCTACTAAAAATACAAAAATTAGCGAGGCGTGGTGGCATGCTCCAGTAGTCCCAGCTACTTGGGAGGCTGAGGCAGGAGAATCACTTGAACCTGGGAGGTGGGGGTTGCAGTGAGCCAAGATCTCGCCACTGCACTCCAGCCTCGGTGACAGTGCAAGACTCTGTCCCCCATGCCCCACCCCCCAAAAAAGGCCAGGCATGGTGGCTCACACCTGTAATCCCAGCAATCTGGGAGCCTGAGGCAGGAGGATCCCTTGAGTCCAGGAGTTCAAGACCAGCCTGGGCAACACAGTGAAACTCCATCTCTACAAAAAATATAAACAATTAGTCGGGCACTGTCATACAAGCCTGTGGTCCCAACTACTCAGGAGGCTGAGGTTGAAAGATGGCTTGAGCTCGGGACTTTAAGGTTGCAGTGAGCTATCACACCATTGCACTCCAGCCTGGGCAACCCAGCAAGATCCTGTCTCAAAAAAGAAACAAATCAATACACAGAGAAGGAAGCAGCGACCCAGGCCCAGAACCAGAAAACATTTACAGCATTCTATTGCCATCTGGTGGCTATCTTGAATATTGCACCCCAAGGCTTTCAAAGCCCCGCTGCTCTGGTAGGTTTCTGTCCATCCTGGGCTTCCAGGCTCTGTGCTTTTCAGGTCTTCACATCCCAACTAGTGGCCTGGACATCCTCCAAGAATGTACCTTTAGCTCCATCTTCTCAAGCCAACCAGGCTGCCCCATGCACAGGCCCCTGAGCCCTTCCCTGGCCATGATTCTTGCACATCCCCTTCTCCCTGCTGGGAGCCCCAGTTCTCCAGATCCTGCAGCCTGGGCCCCACAGGAGCAACTTCTCTCTCGCCCTGCATGGCCCCTGTGACTTCCTGCTTCTTCAGATCTTCTCTGCGCTTCCCAGGGACACCCAAGAAGGGCTGCTGGGCCCTCACCCCACTTAACCCTCCCCAGCAGACGCCCACAGCCCCCCCGCTTCAACACTCCCACAGCCACTGCCAGCCTCTCTTTGGGGCCACTCTCCACTGCCCTCTGTCTTGTTGGGCAATGCCCAGCAGCCTGCAGCAGCCCCAACCTCTCTTCTGCCAGTGTGAACTCTCCCAGCGTTCAAGCTTCACACCCCTTAGTGCTGAACACATGGCCTTGGCTGCCCCAGCCGCCTCCAGTTCTAGCTTTCTTTTGCTTTTGCTCTAAAGATCTCCACGTTGCAGCCGTCCACTATCCTCCTTTGGCTCCTGCACCCAGCACTCTGGGTGGCGGCTGTCCTTTCCAAGGCCACTGACCAGGTCCCAGACAGGGGTCTGCCTCTCCTCTCTGGCTTCCTGACACTTGACATGGGGTGGGGAGGTGAACCTCGTAGTGTGGGCTGCTTCCTTGCATGCCCTTCCCTGGCCAAGCTCTCCATCTGACGTTCCTCCTGCTGCTGCCACTGGCTCTGTTTATCTGCTCACCTGTCCCTGTCCCCTGGCCTGGGCCCTGGGGGCAAAAGCTCTTAGCACAGAGCCTGGTGCTCAAAGGTGTCCCATTAAGTGCTGGCTGAATGAAAAGAAAAGAACAAAAGGAAGGAAGGAATTGGCTTTTTTTTTTTTTTTTAAATAGAGTCAGGGTCTCAAGCAGTGCAGTAGTGCGATCAGAGCTCACTGCAGCCTCAAACTCCTGGTCTCAAGCGATCCTCCCACATCAGCCTCCCAAAGTGCTGGGATTACAGGCGTGCGTCACCGTGCCCGGCCAGGAACCAGCTTCTGATGCTGTTCTATGTTCTGTTTTACTGGTTGTGTTTCCTTTTTTTTTTTTTTTTTTTTTTTTTTTGAGTTAGGACTGCAAGTTTGTGTTTTCTGATTTACTTCTGCTCTTATCTTTGTTTTCAGATTCTTAATTTATTTTCTTGTATTCCTTTTCCCCATTAAGAACCTAATTTATATGCTGCAGTCATTTAATTTTTTAAATAACAAAAGTATTTAAAACTATGAAATCCTTCTAAGTACGATTTGGGTCACCTTAATATAATGTACAGGATTCATTTTACTTTACATTTTTTGATACAGGGGCTCGCCCAGGCTGGTGTTCAGTGGTGTGAACATGGCTTACTGCAACCTTGACCTCCTGGGCTCAAGTGGTCCTCCCACCTCAGCCTCTGGAGTAGTTGGAACCACAGGTGATACCCAGTTAATTTAAAAAAAAAAATTGTAGAGATGGGGTCTCCCTATGTTGTCCACGCTGATCTCGAACTCCTGGACTCAAGTGCTCTGCCTTGGCCTCCCAAGTGTTGGGATTAGGTGTGAGCCACCATACTTGGCCCCAACAAAATGTTTTAAAAGCTGGTCCTTTGTATCTTTTTCTGGACACACCCCACACTCCCACAGGCCAAACAGGGCAGGGATGAGCTTGGCAAGGGGCATGTGGGCCTCAGGGTCTGGCCTGGCTGGGTCTGAGCTGAATGAGGAGCCAGGCGCTTGTAATCTGCAAGTAGGGACAGAGTCAGGACCGAAAGTGGAAAATGAGTCACTGGATCAGGGTGCACAGGAGGGTGCACAGGAGGGCGCAGTGGCTGAGGCTGAGGGTAGGGTCAGCAGTAAGAACCCAGGCCACCAAGTCGTAGCCAGGCTGCACACTGGAGTCACCGGCGGGGGGAGGGGGCCCACCCTGAGACGATAACAGGCCCGGGGGAGGCTTGGGCACTGGGATGATGTTTAAAAGAATCCACCCACCCCCCAGGTGACCCCCTTTTGCAGTCAGGATGGAAAACTGCCGCCCACGACTCACCTCGGTGGCGGCGTCAGGCTTTACAGCTGTTCCCCCGGCTCCCCGCCCAGCTCTCCCTCCCGCCCTGCAATCTCTCCCTGTACCCAGCCAGCGCTCCAGTGTGGCCGCCGAATTCTCTGCATTTTCCTTTGAAAATAATTCCATCTGGGGCTCCTAAAGCAATAGATGTTCACTGCAGCAAATCCCGAAAACGGAGAAAAGCACAAAGGAGAAAACAGACGTTTCACATTTTTTCCCAGTGATTTACACCCATCTGCCGCGGCTTCAGCCTCTGCAGGTTCCCGAACAAGATGCGGCTCCTGCTCTCTTCCGTGTGAGCATCTGTTCCGGCAGGATCGAGTTATTCCTCAGACGCCACCAGCTTTCTCTCTTTTGTAGCCAAACTTTATTGAGCACTTACTGTATGCTGGGCACTGCATGAGGCCACAGGGACCCAGAGGTCTCAGCAAAACCTCGTGGAGCCTTCCGGCCCGTCCAGGAGGCGGCGGCGTGAGATCCTTCAATGGGTCATGTTAAAGGCCTGGTGCGCGGACTCCATCTGCCTTTTTCTTTGTCTTTTCTCCTGGAGATTCGTGTGTTGGTCTTTATTATGGCTGAGGTTTGTTTCAGACAATTTTTCTAGGCTTTAATGGCTTTTAAGGGAGGCTGGGACTGTGTCCTCTGCCACTTTTCCACACTTTGTCCCCCAGAATATCTCAGGAGAAGTAAAGTCACCTTTTCTCCTTTAACCCTTTAGTAGATCTGGACGTGCCGTCTCCGCCCCGCGTGGTGATGTCGTAGCCTGGACCTCGTCTGCTCCTTTCTACACTTGGCACGAGGTCGCCTGACTCTCACCCCTCATGGGCGGGGCGGGGGCAGAGCAGCACAGGGTGTGAGGGGCAGGTCTGGCCCTGAAAGGGGCCTTTGATGCAGTTATTGTCTCCGTTCAGCCCATTCCTGCTGCTCTCTTAAGAGCTTTAAGAACTGGGCTAAATGGTGCCCATACCTTCCAAGCCAACCTCAGATGAACTCAGGGCTGACAGGGGAGCCACCTCCCATGCCAAGCTAAGGGCTCTGTCTCTGGCAACCTGAATCATCCACTCACACAGAGGCTGAGTTAAATTAACCCCGCATTCAATGAGGGCCGGCTCTGCCCACCTTTGTGGGGGCTGCAAAAATGCATTTTGCAGGTAGCCGGCCTCTAACCCGGCCACAGTGGTGGGTGAGGGTCCACTGCAAACCACACGTGCCCGAGCAGGGACAAGCAGGACATTTCATTTAACTCAGATGGTTTGCCATCAGGAGGAGGTCCTGAGTGCTCTCTTCCTTCCCTCCCTCCTGTGTGCCAGAGGCCTCTGCCCTTGTCCCCACGGCCCTGCGGGAGCCACCGTCTTTCCGTTCCTCGATGGGAGGAGGTGCTCTGGGCCACAGCTGAGTGTTCCCCACCTCTGTGCACCGCCTGGCACGCAGGGGCACTCAGAGGAGGCTGAGTGCACAGAGGCAGGGTCCACACGTGTATCCCTTTAACCCGACCGTCCATTTCCATCATGGAGGGATAAGGCACCGCAACCACAAGCTTGGCGGGGCGGTGGGGGGAGGAGAGGGCTCCTGCATTGAAGCCTGGGCCAGGGAAGGTGGTGGGAGTGTCTGCCTGTGTGTGGGGCAGCTCTGTGGGCTGGGAGGAGCTGGGGGTTGCCACTCTCCTTTGGCTGTAACGAGTCACTGTACTCACTGGTCACAGCCACACAGTCTCCTTAGTGGTGGAGAATTGGCTGTGTAGAGTTTGTGTTTCCTTTTTCAGAACGAGGGAAAATGGTCCCGATGTGCCATGAAAACAGGGCACATGGGGACAGCCCTGGCGCTGAGGGAGAGGGGGCAGGTGAGGAAGCATCCCTCAGCGGAAGCCCTCTCCCCGGGGGGCCCTTTGCCCCACAAAGCTTTGAAGCTTCACACGGGTCAACTTCAAGTCAATGCCCTGAGTAGTGCACCCGGAGTCCCTTCTGGAAGGAGGTGGCGTCTTTGCAGACAGGAGCGAAGGCACATGCCTCGGGGGGAGTTCCCGTGGGCCCAGGACCAACCTGGGTGGTCCCAAGTTCTGTGTCCTGTCAGTGAGACCTGGCAGTGCTCTAAAAACCAGCCCCCAGCCTGGGGCAAAAAGACAAAGGACTTGACGGGTTCTGGGCCCCAAGAGGCTTGGACCTCACACGGGCCTGAGGATTGGGTAGACCAGTGAGGTAGGGTGCAGCTTTGAGCAAGGTGCCTGGTGTGCTGACGGCCACCCTCCCTCCACATGCCCCAGGCTCAGGTCCAAATGACCAGCAATTCCATGATGTGGAGTGCACCTGTGTGGCGGAGGCAGCTGTCCCACAGGCCCAGGGTTCTGGAAAGCCCCTTAGCTCCCTGAGGCCGGTGCACAGAAGGCCCAGCATCTGCGGTCTGAGTAAGCCAGTGTCCTCCGCACCCCTGGCCTCTTCTTTGCTCTTCCCCAGCATCCCCAGTACTGGGTGGCAAGAGGGGGTTCCTGGGCTGAACAGTGGTCTCCAAAAATTCATATATTGAAGCCCTAGCCCCCCGTACCTTAGAATGTGACTCTATTTGGAGATAGGGCCTGTAGGGAAGTGATTAAGTTAAAAGTGAGGTAATCAGAGTGGGCCCTAATCTATGGTGTCCTTATATGATCAGCACTCGAAGAGCCACCAGGAGAGGGGAGACCGTGGCAGAGCGGGGCAGAGACGGCCACCCATGGCCACCAAGGCCACCACGGCCACAGACAGGCCTTGGAAGAAACCCGCCTGCCCACACCTGGTGGGTGAGGAGGCGCACTGCTGTTCTTTCACTGTGGTGCTTTTCATGTCAACCTGAACACACCCAGACCAGGGGCACAGGGACAGGAGTGGGGAAACGGGTCCAGGCCAGGCCCCCGAAAGCCCGCGCTTCTCCACCTTTCCGAAGCTGGAGAGCTCCTGAGCACCTGTCTGCCCCAGAAGAATCAGCTGATCAAACAGAACCCCCAATCTCTCCAGAATCCAGGGGAATCTAACCTAAGCAGATGCCCCACGAGTGGAGATGCTCACCTGTGGGTGGCAGTGTGTTCTAACCAGGAGCCAGGTGGGGAACCGCTGTGGGTGCCCCGACTATGAGAGCCTCCAGCCATGGAGACACAGACCTGCCATCTCTGTCTGATTAATACGTGGTGAAGATGAAAGAGAAGAGCCAGACGTTCTCTTGCCTGAGCAGGGCACTCAATAAAGAGTTGACCTTCCTTGAAGAGGTCCGGAGGGACCTGTGGTATTATGTGGGAGTGGAGCCGAGCGCCCCCCGTACCTCCAGGCGCAGCACCCCCGCCCCCGCACCTCCAGGCGCAGCACCTCCACCCCGACCTCCAAGCGCAGCACCCCTGCACCTCCAGGCGCAGCCCCCGCCCCCCCGCACCTCCAGGCGCAGCCCCCCCCCGCACCTCCAGGCGCAGCCCCCGCCCCCCCGCACCTCCAGACGCAGCCCCCCCCCCGCACCTCCAGGCGCAGCTCCCCCCCGCACCTCCAGGCGCAGCACCTCCACCCTGACCTCCAAGCGCAGCACCCCTGCACCTCCAGGCGCAGCCCCCGCCCCCCCGCACCTCCAGGAGCAGCCCCCCCCCGCACCTCCAGGCGCAGCACCTCCACCCCGACCTCCAAGTGCAGCCCTCCCGCACTTCCAGGTGCAGCACCACCCCAACCGCGCCTCCAGGCGCAGCCCCCGCCCCCCGGGCCTCCAGATGCAGCACCCCCGGACCTCCAGGCGCAGCCTTCCCTTGCCTCCACAGGCAGCCAGCCTCTCTTACCTTCCCGCCTCCCGGCTGGTGCTTCAGGTTCTCAGTGGAACCGATCTTGGACTTGACGTTCTTCAGGTCTGGCATGGGCACGGGGGCTGTCTGCAGGCGGCTCTTGGCGGAGGATGGCGACTTGGGTGGAGTACGGACCACCGCCACCTTCTTGGGCTCCCGGGTGGGTGGGGTTGGAAGGGATGGAGTGCGGGAGCGGCTGCCTGGAGTGCCTGGGGAGCCGGGGCTGCTGTAGCCGCTGCGATCCCCTGATTTCGGAGTTTCACCTGGGGAGGAAGGAAGGCAGTGAAGCCAGGACTCGGGTAGGTGGTGGTCAGAAAAGGCGCTGGGGGCTGCGGGTCCCGCTGGTCCATTCCCAGGCTCGCCGTTGGGTTAGGCAGGCCAGGGCCAGGTTGGAAGCGCAGTACAGCAGCAGAGGCGGATGCCAGCCCTGAAGCATCCCCTCCTTCCTGCCTTTTTGCTTAGGGACAGAGACGCCCCTTTCCCAGAAAACAACGGAAAATCATCAACCACCATCCAACACCCGCTCCCAGAGAGGCAGCCAACTTGGCCCCTCGGTCTTTGGGTCAAGAGACCGACTCCAGCAAGCTGTGTGGGTCTCAGGCAAGTCACTTCCACTTTCTGAGCTCAGAGATCTAAATTTGAAAATGGAAATAATTATAATCCCTGGGGCAAGGGTGGCTCCAGGTGGTGGTAGATACGCTTTGCAACCTCTAGTGCAATTCTTCAGGGCCTTGATCCTAAATAAGGGTGACACAGTGACGGGACCCAGCTGTGCCCTCCAACCTGGACACTTCTGACCCTTCCCCCCAGGGTGAATGTTCGCTGGTAGGCTAGTTCAGGGCTCCTGCCAGCTCCCTGGGTCCTGTGTGGGATCTGGGCTCCAGAACAGGATGCCTGCTCCACACCTGCCTGTCCCTAGCTGTCCACACAAGCCATGCCGCTTCACGCTGCTGTGCCTGTGGTGTGGGTCCCCCGTGCCATGCATGGCAGACGTCAGTGCCCCTTTCCAACAACCCGGAAGGGTGCTGGGGAGTCCCTCCCTCCTCTGGGCGTCTTTTCCCCCCAGGCTGGCTTCCGTCACTGCACATCCCAGGCCCCGTTACACCTCAGCACTGCGCTACTCTGTCTCATGGCTCCGTGTATTCCAAAGCGTGGCCCACGGAACCCTGTGTCAGATCTCCAGAGCTTTCAAGGAGGAAAGTGGGACTTGTAAAATGCAGATTTCTGGGCCCCACGGAGAATGGATAGAGCAGAATTTCTAGGGGTGGGGCTTGCAAAGCTCATTTTTCTCAAGCTTCCCGAAGACTGAAGTCTGTCTGAGAACCGCAAGCCTCACGCTGTGCCAAGGTGCGCTTAGCTCCCCTGCAGTTTGAGGACTGACTTTCCTGCGGGTCTCGAAGCCCCTGCCCCACCCCAGGCATCTGCCGTAACACACACCTGCTGGCCTGACCTGGAGAAGGGCAGCTCTTTGTTCAAAGCTCCTGTGTAGCCAATGGGCAGCTTGGCCAGTCACAAATAAGCACCAGTTCTTTTTTTTTTTTTTTTTTTTGAGATGAAGTTTCACTCTTGTCACCCAGGCTGGAGTGCAATGGCGCGATGTCGGCTCACCACAACCTCCGCCTCCTGGGTTCAAGTGATTCTTCTCCTGCCTCGGCCTCCTGAGTAGCTGGGATTACAGGCGTGAGCCACCACACCTGGCTAACTTTTGTATTTTTAGTAGAGACTTATTTTAGTAGAGACTGTATTTTTGTATTTTCAGTAGAGACTTCTTTAGTAGAGGTTTTACTGTGTTGGCCAGGCTGGTCTTGAACTCCTGACCTCAGGTGACTTACTTGCCTTGGCCTCCCAAAGTTCTGGGATCATAGGCGTGAGCCACCACGCCTGGCCAGCATCAGTTTTTAGAATTTGATTTCCATGTCTTAAAAAAAAAATTTTTTTATACAGATGGGGGTCTCACTATGTTGCCCAGGTTGGCCTTGAACTTCTGGCCTCAAGCAATTCTCCCACCTCAGCCTCCCAAAGTGCTAGGATTACAGACGTGAGCCACTGCACCCTGCCGATTTCCATGTTTTGGATGTTCGTCAAGCTCTGTGGCAACAGGACAAACGAAGCCTCTTCTTTTGCACATAAGAAAACAACAGATGGGGCCTCGGCCTCCAAGGCCTCCAGGCTCAGCCTCTCTGCCTCCTCAGACCTCCCATCCTCCTGCCTCCCTGACTGCAGAGGCCCAGGGTGACCCGTGGGCTTGGTGTGCTAGCTCTGAATCCTTCTCATGCCTCTTACTTGCAGAGTGGTCTCCCAAAGGCTATATCCTCATCTGAAAAATAGGAAGACAGCTAGGCATGGTGGCTCACGCCTGTAATGCCACTGTCCCTGAAGTCAAGGAGAGCACACAGGATTAGAAAGCCCGTCAGACAAACACAGCTGCGCAAACTGCACACGGAAGAGAATTCAGACTGCTCCGTCTTCGGGCTTAATGTGTGAACCCTGCGTTTCAGAAGAGGGTCCTCCCGGCTCTGAAACACAAGCCAGGGAACAGCCACACACGCAAAGGGAGGCTGCCCCAGCAAAGCCGGCTCCCAATTGCCTCTCTCAGAGTGGGGCCCTGCGGGGGGTGCCTTTCTCTGTGCTTGCTTGGTCGATTAAAGAGAAAAATCCACAAAAGCTTCGTTATCATCAGGCTTAAAAGGAACCTTAATGAGTCCTTCACGTAGCAGGTGCCTACAGCTGGCCCAGCAGCGGCCCTATTCTGAAACAAGGTCGAGGGGGCTGAGGGGAGAAGGTCTCCCTACCTGCAGGCAGCCACCGAAGAGTAGGTAAGACCCAAAGGGAAATGCATAACCTTGTTTCAGGTCATTACAAAGTGCGAGTCTCCTGTAATCCCAGCACTTTGGGAGGCTGAGGTGGGTGGATCACTTGAGGTCAGGAGTACGAGACCAGCCTGGCCAACATGGTGAAACCTTATCTTTACTAAAAATACAAAAATTAGCTGGGCGTGGTGGCCCATGCCAGTAGTCCCAGCTACTTGGGAGGCTGAGGCGGAGAATTGCTTGAACCTGGGAAACAGAGGTTGCAGTGAGCCGAGATTGTGCCACTGTACTCCAGCCTGGGTGACACAGTAAGACTCCGTCTTAAAAAACAACAACAACAACAAAAAACAAAGTGTGAGTCAAGTGGCCCAATGTTAAGTGAAAACCAAAAACAAAAACAAAAAAACCCAGCAGGATCCAAACCCTACTTAAAATCCTGTGAAAACTCTGAGAATTATCTCTAGATCGTATGCATATGAGAAGAATAGGCCAGAAAACATGAGGCGAAAATACAAAACCAACAAACCTTAGTGAACAGCCACCTTGTGGGGACCACTGGACCGCACGTATGCATGAAATGCCACTGCAGAGACATAGCAGGTGGCGGGCAGGCTCTCGGCAGCTCCCTCAGGCCAGGAGAAGCAGAGTCGCCAAGATCCAGGCCAGGCTTTGGCCACAGCCCGCAGCAAGAGCCCCAGCTGCCTGCGCACTACCAAGGAGCCAGTGCAGGTCAGGGGCCCCCACATGGTGCAGAGTCTAACCCAGTGCCCAGAACACTTCACCCGGGCAGTGGGAGACGGAAGCACCTTGGGCAGGTTGTCCCTAATCCCAAGAGGATGATTTTTTTTTTTTTTTTTTTTTTTTTAGACAAGAGTCTTGCTCTTGTCACCCAGGCTGGAGGAGTGCAATGGTGTGATCTGGGCTCACTGCAGCCTCCTCCTCCTGGGGGTTCAAGAGATTCTCCTACCTCACCCTCCTGATTAGCTGGGATTACAGGTGCCTACCACCTCACCTGGCTAATTTTTTTGTATTTGCAATAGAGATGGAGTTTCGCCATATTGGCCAGGCTGGTCTCGAACTCTTGATCTCAGGTGATCTGCTCACCTCAGTTTCCTAAAGTGCTGGGATTATAGGCATGAGCCATCACACCTGGCTATGACTGTTCTTAATAGCACCCCTGGCTGCAAAATATCTTGACGGTTGCCTTACTGGGTATTCCAAACCGACTGAGTTTTACTCACAGGAGCCCAGGGCAATGGGCCCAGCCTGCGACTGATCAGCTAAGACCCTCAGGGTTTGCAGTAGACTCCTAATGTCCCCAAGCAAGCTAAGTTGCCCAGGGATTGAGCCCTGAGTGACGTCACCCACTGTGACCCATCCAGGCTGCGGCTCTGTCTCCAGAGACATTTATCTCCAGAGTCTCATGTGGGGACTGAAATACGCCATGCGGGGGCTGCCTCTCTGGAACCCTGGACTTGGGACCAGAGAGGCTCCAAGAGCTGCTACTTAGTAGTCATGTGACCACGTTCTCCTGGGGCTTAAACGAGCTGGTTAGACTCAGTCCAGCAAACTCTGTGAGGCTCCAGTTCTTTCATTCCTTCTTTTCCTTTTTCTGTGTTTTTACCATTCTGCAGAATCAGCTTCAATTTCTTCACTGATAACAAGTAAGAATTCAGGCTGGGTGCGGTGGCTCACGCCTGTAATCCCAGCACTTTGGGAGGCCGAGGTGGGTGGACACCGGATGTCAGGAGTTCGAGACCAGCCTGGCCAACATGGTGAAACTCCTTCTCTACTAAAAATAGAAAAAAACTAGCCGAGTGTGGTGGCGGGCGCCTGTAATCCCAGCTACTAGGGAGGCTGAGGCAGGAGAACCTCTTGAACCTGGGAGGCAGAGGCTGCAGTGAAGTGAGCCGAGATCACACCACTGCACTCCAGCCTGGGTAACAAGAGTGAAACTCCATCTCAAAAAAAAAAAAAAAAGTAGGAATTCAACATCTGCCTCAGAAATCAAAAGGACTGAGAAGGAAATGAAGACTCCAGTGCTTAGTAAACTGCAAGGTGCTGACCAGCTGCCGGGGCTGTTCATTCTCAGTGGCCTAAAATGAGGGCTGCACCTATTGAGAGCGTCCGCTTCCTCTAAGATTCAAGAGAACACTCTTCTTACCAGAGCCAGGTGGTGTCTTTGGGGTGGGCGGGGTTTTTGCTGGAATCCTGGTGGCGTTGGCCTGGCCCTTCTGGCCTGGAGGGGCCGTTCCCCGGGGTGTGGCAATCTTCGTTTTACCATCAGCCCCCTGTAAATGAAACATGGTCGAGGGGTTTTTCACCACTGGGAAAAGTTACTGCCACCAAGAGTCAACACCAGCCCCACTCTGCCACCTTGACTCAAAGCGTGGCTAAGACTGGGGTGACCCTTTGCCTCCTAGATGCCACAGATGTCTTCTACCATCACAAGGACTTGCTGGGCACAAAAACCCACATCCCCATCCAAACTTCAAGTCCCCTGAGGACACTTCCTCCCAGAGGAACTGTGAGCATTAGTTACCAGCATGAGTTGTCCCTAGGCCAGCAGAGCTTATGGCAACAATCAGGTCACTCTCCACTCATGTCAGTCACTCATAGTGCAGGACATTAGTGCACTATGGATATGGAACATCCATTTTCTAACTCTTACTATGGATTTAACTGATGGTGGCTGGTTGCAGCAGAGGCCCTTGGAGACACTGTTGAACCTGACCAAGCATGCCAAAGAGAGCTAGGCCACGTTCTTTCATTCTCTCCCAAACAGCCCTAAGGCCTCAGGAACTGCTTGGGTGTGCTCAGAGAAGGTGAGTACCGAGGAGGTGAGTGCCAGCATCACTGACAAAGCCGCCAGACAGGGGAACAGGTGCTGGCGTGGCACGATCTACAGACTGAGGGCAGTCCCTGAGTTCGGCTACCCAGCAGATGACCCTTAGACATAACACAAACTCAGAAAGGAACCGACATCAACCAAGGACCACAAGCTAGTCCAGGGGGGGAGCAAGCCTGTGGGGCAGGTGTTACTGTGCCATGATGCTGGCTTACCCAGATGAGGACAATCTGGAAGCATTTCTGCCTACTAAAATCAGGAAGGGGCAAAGGAACCCAGTGACAGTAGCAATTTTGATTTTGATTTTTGAGACAGGGTCTTGCTGGGTTCAAGCGATACTTGTGCCTCCACCTCCTGAGTAGCTGAGATTACAGGTGTGCACCACCATGCCTGGTTAATTTTTGTATTTTTAGTAGAGAAAGGGTTTCGTCATGTTGGCCAGGCTGGTCTCAAACTTCCGACTTCAGGTGATACACCTGCCTCGGCCTCCCAAGGAACTAGGATTACAGGCGTGAGCCACCGTGCCCAGCCTGAGTAGCGGTTTTGAAACCAAGGTCCCGCTAGGTGTCTTAGCGGGTGCTGCCATGAGGGCCTGTGGGGTGCTGAGAGGTATGGCCTTGAGCTCTCTTTTTCCCTTTGTCCAGAATTCTAACTATTCCACATGGCGTTTCTATGTCAGAGCTCATTTGAAGAAAGGTCTTTGAGGCTAAAAAAAAAAAAATGAAACAAACGAACAAGCAAAAAACCCACATTTGCAAACCACAGCAGAGCAGCCTGGTTCTTTTCAAAGGTGGTTTCCTTACCTTGAATTTCATCTCCTTTGCTCCAGAACTGCCAGTTCGGGGAGTGACAGAAGAGACGCATTTAGGAGAGGAAGGTGGCTCTGGGCACACGGCAGGGCTGGAGGGTTGGATCAGAGGGTCTGAGCTACCAGGAGTGGGGTGTTTGGGGCTAAGGCAAGGCCTATTTTTCAAGGTTTTAGCAGAAGAACGTGTGGATGTCTTAAACATAAACATAAATAAAATCAAAATAAAAGTCAGCACACGGAGGAGGGAAACAAACTGAAAAAAGGACAGTAACTAAAAATAAATAAGGCAGGTAATGGTTGAAAGCAGTGATCCCCAGGCTGTTTGCGTCGTGTATCCTCAACATCCCTTCCGATTCGTAAGAACAGGAAAGTGATCGTCCTCCCCAATCATCGTTCTACATGACCGACTCACTCAGCTCGCATCTGACAGAGCTTTCAGAGGAGGACATGAAAAATGAGTGGAAGTTCTAGTATGCTCTTCCTCCAGCCCGTTAGATGTTATTGTGACCCTGAATTTGGAGACCACTGGTTTAAAGGTGCTTCACATGAATAAGCTGATGGAGATCATCTAGGTACATGAATCTTAGGATGTTATTCAAGAATATGTCCCCAAGTGTGTCGTGGGTCCGAAGCGTCCCACTTTCTACTCAATTCCAGGCAAGGCGCTTTTTTGTCTGCCCATTAACCCATGGCTTCTTCCACCACACTGACAGACTCATATACCTACAATCAGGAGTATGCCCGCCCCAAGCTGGAAAGATTCTATCTGACATCACTTAGGGTACACCCACCCCGATCACATGTGCTTTCTGATTAAAGTCTCAAATTAAACTAATATTAATACCATCAGGTGAATCCTAATCTGGCCAATATTAACTCTTTTTTTGGTTTGTTTGTTTTAGAGACAGGGTCTCCCTCTGTCGCTCTGGCTGGAGTGCAGTGGTGCCATCATGGCTCACTGCAGCCCCCACCTTTTGGGCTCAACTGATCCTCCCACCTCTGCCTGGCCAATTAAAAAAAATCTTTTTTAAGAGATGGGTTCTTGCTATGTTGACCTGGCTGGTCTACAACTCTTGGGCTCGGGAGATCCTCCCACCTTAGCCTCCCAAAGTGCTGGGATTACAGGCATGAGCCTCTGTGCCCAGCCTCCAGTCTTAACTCCTTTGCTTTTTTTCAGTCTGTCCGTGTAAACAACAATGCTAACTTTTGAACCCGTTCCACATGAAGAAGCACCAGGGGTAGGTGTCTGCATGCCTATCCCTGTGGAGAGGGAGGGGCCCTTGGAGCTGGGATGCAGGAGAGATGGTGACTGACGGCCACAGTTCGTCCTGCCCCGGGGGGATTTTGACAGGTGGGCATGGCCCTGGAGGAGAAGGGGGTGTTGGGAGTGGAAAAGTTCACAGTCTCAGGAAATAAAGCGAGGAGGCTAAGCCTCGAGGTGTTTCTGAGAGTTACTCAGAGCTCAGAGAAGGGTCCTGACCCAGACTTCACTGGGCTTCTTAGGGGTGTTATCTTATTACTTTCCAATTCCCCAATGAAGTGGCTGAGGCCCTCTGTGTGGCCAGGCTTGGCGAGGAGGAGAATCTATGAGTTGGGGCAGAAATGGGAGAGGAGGGACACAGGCTGGGGCCCCAGGGCTGATGACAAGAAGGCAAAGCTGGGGTGGGGGTACTGACGACCACTCCTTCCCTCACTGCCCACCTGTCCAAGGTCCGTCATAGACCTTTCCCTCCCTAGACTCTGAGCAACTCCAGGACAGGGATGTTGTACCCATGTGTACTGAATGAATGAATGAATGAAGGCAAGCATGCACGAGGCTGGTATTCCCTGCCCCCTGGTCCCAGCACTAAATGCGCACCAGGATTGACAAGCAGCTGCCACTATCACTTCAGAAACCCAGGGCAGCTCTCCAAATCCCTGCAGGGCCCTTTGCTGCCTCACTAGGTAAGGATGGGGAGCCCCGACTCTGCAGGCACTTCTGGAAGCAGCCCGCAACACACCAACACACCACCGAATGCCCAGAGCTACACGGCAACTGGAGATGCCCTAGGGGCTCCAGTACTGATTAAAAATCAGATGTTTCAGACAGAATTTATGTTGGAAATTTTAGATACCTTTTAAAAAAATAGGTCTTATCTAGCGTCATGATGGGATTTTCCAGGAAAAATGCCACTGTGCAATAATGGGAGCATTTCCCCAGACACCAAGTCATTGAGGGAGTAAGTGATCGGTGAAGTGCAATGCTGAGGAGGGGCAAGGATCTGGGAGCAGTTTATGCAGTGAGCAGATGGCTTCACTCACTGTCCTGGGGCTGGTTTTCAAACACACCTTCATTTACTGTCCCGGGGTTGGTTTTCAAACACACCTTCATTTACTATCAGGGTCTCACTGAAACTATGCTAAGGAAGCTGCGGTCAGGAGCATGACTTCATGAACCTGCCAACTGCTCTTCCCTGGGGTAAGCATCAAAACGAATAAATGCTGGACTGTTTAAAAGCCTGTACAATAATACAAAGCACTTTAAATGACGGTTGTACTTTAGTGACAAATGCTCCTCACATTATACATGAGAATGAGCTCGGACACAAAGCACAGCTTCTCTGTAAACGTGACCAGCCGCCGAGCTCCGTGGCGTCATCAGCTTACCTTGGCTTTTTTGTCATCGCCTCCAGTCCCGTCTTTGCTTTTACTGACCATGCGAGCTGATAAAATAGAAAATGAGAAGGCCTGTCACACTCCATTTTCACCGTTCACAGAAAGAGCCAGCGGTGGTGAAGTTGGATTTCTCCGGGTAGGTCCACGTTTTGTTTAGTTGGGTCTGGTGGAGGCCCAGGTAGCTCTCCTTTCCCTTGAATCTGCTAGGTCTCACATTGTTAGTATCAACACAGCACACTGGGGTCATTGATTAGAGCAACCTGGCAAGAGGGGGAAGCCGGTTGGCTGAGGGTGGGGCCATGCAGAAGGGATGCAACACAAACTGCCACGGGAACACGCTGGCACAGAGGCTATCTAAAGAAGGTGCAGGCTCCCTAACCCACTGGCTTCCCAACCTGCAGGCTCCTGCTCTGTTTCTGCCAGGGTCAGCCTCACCCCACTGGGGCCAGCCCCACTCCATGGATGGGCGTTTTAAAAGCCTAAGGGCCATGGATGTTGGTAGCTCAGTGAGGATCCAGTCTCCTGCGAGATTCAAGGACGGGGGGTGGGTGAGTGTTCTTCACCTGCAGCCTGCCTTGGCCTTGGTTCCCTGTGAGGTGCCTGCTCACCCTCTTGGCCGTGGGGACTGCCTGGAGCCACCCTGGCCTCCCCTGCCCATGCGGCCAGATTGCCAGCAGTCCTGATGCGCACCTTCCTGTCCATCTTATGCTGACCACCACATCCCCATCCTCATTCCTGGTCACCTGCCCCCAGAATAGGAGAGCCTGGCAGGGATGTCTTTATCCCCTAGTTACTGGTTGGACCCCCAGAGCCCACCCCTCACTATTGGGGGCTTCGGCCACCAGTCCCAGCTGCTCTCAGATGAGCCAAGCCCAGCCCTGAGCCAGGCCTGGGGGTTTCTTGCCACTTGCAGGCTTTCGAAGGGCACGAATCCTCACTGCTTTCCCCAATTAGCTACAAACCAGTTACCATCATATATTCCCACAGACAGCATCGGCTTTCATCACGCTCCTTGGTGAAACCAGTCCACTGACCTGTCTGCCAGCATCGGCACTGACTCACCCTTCTTCTCCTGACAGTCACTGCTGAAAACTGATGAGAGATTTTCTTCTTTGGTTTTGATATCATGCTCCCCCTGCCCCATGGACAATCGGGTCTCTCGGAGCTTCTCATTGGCTATTGTCACCTGGATTCCTAGAGGACCAGCAATGAGTATGCCCGGAGATTTTCCAACTATACCATGTGGTGGAATCACCGCTAACAGGCTCCCAGGCTTACCCCACAGCTGCGTCTGTAAGCCTAAGGTGGCACCCCGGAACCACTTTAACAGGAGCCCCAGGTGGAACTGACCCACATGTTCTTTCCTTAGCCCACATCAACCAGCACCATCCATGGCACACCAAAATCAACTGCTAGATTGGCATTTCCGAAGCTGTGGAAGCACTAAACAAGTCCTCTTCCAGGAAATGTTAGCAGAGAGAATCAAGTAAGTTAGGGAAACCCACTCTGTGACCTTCTCAGAGGGCCACAATGTCCATTAGCACATTAAAGGCTCTGACAAGTCCTGCAGCAGAAAAACCTATTTAACTTAGTCTGTTTTTTTCTCCCCAATCACTGGGCCATGAAATTTTTTTTTTTTTTTTTTTTTTTTAAACCCAGACATACCTATAAACCTTCAGTAGACCAGTATTCAAGGAAACATCATTTTAGGAAATATGTAGTAGCCTGTCAAGTCAGTCATTTGTCCCCAACTGTTTTGGACTTTAGGATATAGGATTTTTTTCTGTCTTAACTTTATTTTTTGAGATGGAGTCTTACTCTGTCACCTAGGCTGGGTGCAGTGGTGTGATCTTGGCTCACTGTAACCTCTGCCTCCCAGTTCAAGCATTTCTCCTGCTTCAGCCTCTCCAATAGTGGGGACTACAGGTGCGTGCCACCACATCTAGCTAATTATTTGTATTTTTAGTAGAGACAGGGTCTCACCATGTTGGCCAGGCTGCTCTCAAATTCCTAACCTCAAGTGATCCACCTGTCTCAGCGTCCCGAAGTGGTGAGATTACAGGTGTGAGCCACCGTGCTCAGCCTCTGGCTTAACTTTTAAACACAGGCTTCTTTATAGTATTTCAAAGTTTTCTCTAAAAGTAAAATCTAATAGAAGTGTAACAGATGCTTGCAGCTGCAAGCTTCAGTATCATCCATTTCTGGGCTCTGCAAACAACTGAAATGTTAGCTAAGGGTCCCAAATGTATGAACAAGCCCGCCTTGTGGCTGTGAGGCCTCCCGTGGGACACCATCTCTCCTCTCCCCGATACTTGAGAATCTCACCCCACCAATCCCACCCTGCAGGGCTGCTGTGGTCGCGTTCCCAAGGGCTCAAGATGGGCCCCGCTCAGCACTTCCCGCCCCCACCGATGGCAGCAGGAGGATCCCCTCGTCCTCTGCTGAGGGAGGCGGAGTGGAGGCATGTGGACCAGGAAGATCTTGTCTCTGCTCCTTGTCTTCCTGCCACAGGCAGAGCGGGTGGGGGCAGGTGCTGGGCCAAAGGCACATCGTGGGCTCTGGGCCTCCTCTGGAGGCTGTGTCACCTGCTGTGTGTGTCGCCTGCTGTGTGTGCCCTGAGCATCTCTGCATTAGGAGTCCACACACTCCTGCACCTCCTGGGAGGTGCTGTGGGATGTGAGATGGGCGTGTCTTTCAGAGCCAACCTGCCTGGATCCCCAACCTGGCTCTGTCACTTACTACTCAGTGGTCTTCTGCAAGTTACTGTACTTCTCTGAGCCTCCGTTTCCTCATCTGCAAAGTGGGGCTAAGTATGCCTATGTGGGAGGGTTGGAGAGTTCTAGACAACGAGAGGGCAACTGTTATCCTCTTGCTGGAGGGCGCCTGCCAACCTCCTGGGGGCTCATGGGCCATAGTGGACAAATCAAGTGGCTAGAGTCAAACAAGGTGGAGCGCACGGGGCAGGGGTGCTGGTGACATGCAGAGTGGCGGGCAAGCGTGAGGGGCGCGTGCGGCCACAGCCTGGGTGGGAGGAGGCTGGGGGAGTACAGCAGCTGCGCCCAGTGTCGGTTTAGTGGCATCCTAGGAACGTTGGAAGCAGCAGGAGTCAGGAGGGCCAGAAGCTCAGTGGCAGTGCCCGCAGCCTGGGAGGCCCAGAAGGTCCCCAGGGAAGGACTGAGGAAGCTCAAGACACAGACCTTTGAGTTGAGGGACCCGACTGATGGGCTTCCCCTGCAGAGCAGCGGCAGGCTGCTTTTTAGACGGCTCTGGAAGGTCAGCCTCTTTTGTGTCCTCTCCCAAAGAGGGTCCCCGGGTCTCTGCCTCATCTCCAGGGGCCCCTGGAAATGCAGCCCTTTCCAAATCCTGCTCCGAGCACACCTGCTCCTTCTGCACATTGGCTGTGATTTCCACGTGGAACGTGAACTCGGGGGGCGCGTCCTGCCCTTCGGCCAGCCCTGCACTGGGCCGGTCAGGCTCTGAGGCCGGGGTCTCTGCAGAAACTGTAGAGAGGAAATCGACTGGGAGGGGGATGGCGCCTTCTGCTGGGAAGCCTGGGACACTGGTGGCTTCTCTGGTGAATGTCTGGGGAGGTGGCCCATCTTGGGCTGGGGAGACCTGGGAGGGAGGGGAGTCCTGTGGGGAGGACTCGTCGACGTCACGGTCTTCATCCACCTCCTTCTCGCCCCCTGGCCTCTCTTTGCTCCCGGCCCCCTTCAGTGGCAGCTCCTCCGGGTGCAGGTCTCCCAAAAACTGGCGCTTCCGCAGCTCAGGGGCATGGAGGCCACCCTTCGTGTCCTCAGGTCCTGTCCCCGAAGGCTGGTGTGGGGCCTCTCTGGGGCTCTCAGGCAGGAAGGGAGCCCCAGGCATGCCGGACACGAGTTGGTGGCTGAGGCTTGGGATGCCTGGCTCTCCGAGGAAGCCTTCCTGGACCACCTTACCGCTCTCAGGCTCCGTGTGGAGATGTGCAGGGGTGGCGGGCTTCGGAAAGGCTGGACCCTCCTTGGCCCAGTTCCCGCCTTTTGGTTTCCACTCTTGGGAGGGCTCCTGAGGGCCTCCTGTTGGAGGAGGCGCTGGGCAAACAGGACGGTGCTGAGGAAGGCTCTCGGTCAGCAGGACGGGAGCTTCTGGCTCTTTCTCCCCCAGGCATGGCCCAGAGACGCCAGGGGCCTCTCCGCAGGGTCCAGGCTGGACATGAGCACTAAGCTTATTGACCAGGGGCCTTTCAGGTGCCTTCCTCTGCTGGCCCGGAACGCTCAACTCCTCTGGTTTGAAGAGGCAGCGACAGCAAAAGGTTAGCAAGGGCACATCAATTGCTTAAGAGAGGGTGCATCATCCTGGACAAAATGACATTGAAAGGGCATCCCAGGCCCCCTAACAAAGAGATAGGAGCATAGCTTTGGGCTCATCTCATTGCCTTTGGTGCTGGGAATGACAGCTCTCCTGGTCAAGCTGCCACCAGCTTGCTGGGTGGTGCTGGGTGAGCCTCTGCCCTCTCTGGGACTCAGTCTCCTCATCTGTAAAGGGGGGTCTTGGACGTGGTGACCGCTGAGGCCCCTTCTGATGTGGGTGTTATTCCTCTGCCTGTCATGGGCTCCAGTTGGGCATAGAGCATGTCACACATCTGAAGCCAGCCTGGACTTAATCACTGTGAAAGCAGGAGAGCTACAGAAGCATCTCCAACTTTCTAGAAAATTTGAGCCTCCCAAAGATTCTAGCCTCTAGATGGTACCTGGCTTGGGTGTAGCGAGACTCCCCTTTCCTCTCCCTGTCTTTCACTGTTCCCCCTGCCACCTTTTTTTTTTGATATATGGTCTCGCTCTGTCACCCAGGTGGGAGTGCAGTGGTGCAGCTCAGTTTAAACTTCGGGGCTCAAACGATCATCCCATCTCAGCCTCCTGAGTAGCTGGACCCACAGATGCACACCACCATGTCTGGCTAATATTTTATTTTTTACTTCTGTAGAGAGGGGGTCTCCTTATGCTCAGGCTGGTCTTGAACTCCTGGGGTCAAGCAATTCTCCTGTCTTGGGGGTTACAGGCATGAGCCACCATACTTGACTTCTGCTCCCTTTTTTGGTAAATGAAAGGAGTGAAACTGGTGCCCACAAACTCTATCCCAAGCACAGCGTCTAACAGATTCGGAAAATCCAAAATGTGTGATCATCAAGAACGAAGTCTTTACCGATCAGCCTGCCACAAGACTCCTCGAAGAAGAAGTCCCATTCAGATCTACCCGGACCACTGACCGCAGACAAGCGCCCTGCACAGGTGAGGTCGGCCCGTTTGGGAGGAAGGGTTCTGCACGGAAGGCAGTGACGGCCCTCAGGACCACTGCTGTGCCCTGGTCACACAGCTTGCTGCACGACAACCCAGCTGATCAAGGGCACACTTCATTTTTTTCTGGTTCATTCATGTGACAATTCATTAATGTGGCTGCATGTTAAGAACAGGAGGATTGCACTCCTTGGTTCTCCTAATAAGCACCCTTGATGTTTTTTTAAACTCCCAACTCTTTGAATACCCCACCTTGTCCCAGTACAACAACCATGCAACTCACCAGCTCTGCTTTAAACAAAACCTGCAGCCCTGAAGGATTTGGGGGCTTGGAAAAGAAAGAGATTTGGATGAGGCGAGGGAGGAAGGTGTGGTCATGGACACACAGGGAACACGTGGGCCCGACCCAGTCGGAGGCAGGGTGGTTGCCATGGGCTCCTCCTTGACAGGCCCGGTCTCAGCGCAGCAGCACCTCCAGTCTGACACTGGCCACGCTCACAGCCCCTGTAATCCCTGTTCCTAGCATACATCACAGTGCCTGCCACACAGCAGGTGGTTAAATCAATGGATCCTGCGCAGATCAACTGGTGTCACTGCTTCTCACAGGCTCTGTCTGTGTCTTATGGGAGCCCTTGGTCAGTCTCCGAAAGGGCAGCACAGAGGCAACCCTGAGCCTGAGCGTCAGGACTGACCAGAGACAGGGACTTCCCCTATGCCACCCCGACAGGCCAGGTCTCCACTGCCTTCTAGAAGACGCTTTCCTCCTAGCGTTTACTAGAGTTGTCCCTTCTAACAGTTTTTGAAGCTCTTTGTTAACCTAACAACAAAAATGCACCTTTCTGTGTCCTGTTAGAAGAGAAATGTCACCTGCTATAGGCTATGACCTTTCTGGGAGCAGGAATGTGTAGTTAGGCCTCAAAATACCCTCAACAAGGCAGAGTCTCCTAGAATGAGACAACCTCAGAGGCAGCTCTAAACACTGGACAAATCCCATCCCTCGGGAGAAAAGAACAGCATCTTCCCCGCCCTTTTGCAATCTAGAAGCTTCCGCATTTTACAGTGGGCTCTCAAGTTCGTTCATCTCGCAGATGACAGAAGACAAGCTCAGCCCACATTACGTCAGTATCAGAGGTCTCCTATTTCCTAAAGTTAGGAATCTCTAGGATTTTTGAAGTTTTGAAGATACTTATGATAAATGATTATGCAAAGCTGTCTTTCTTGAACACAGCAGTTTGGTTCCTGAAAAGAAAATCATGAGGTTTGAAGGGTGCACAGAAGAAAGTTTACAAGCAATAGCTTGGGGGTGACATGGTTCAGCCTCACTCCTGGATTGGCCAGAGGGCAGCCTGCAGCGAGAACTACCCCCACACGTTTGAGTTTTTCTTTTTCTTTTTTTTTTTTTGACATATAGTTTCACTCTTGTTGCTCAGGCTGGAGTGCAGTGGTGTGATCTCGGCTCACTGCCACCTCCCAGGTTCAGGTGACTGTCCTGCCTCAGCCTCCTGAGTAGCTGGGATTACAGGCACCCACCACCACATCCGGTTAATTTTTTTATTTTTAGTGAAACAGGATTTCACCATGTTGGCCAGGCTGGTCTCAAACTCCTGACCTCAGGTGATCTGCCCACCTGGGCCTCCCAAAGTGCTGGGATTACAGGCATGAGGCACCACACCCGGCCTTGAGTTTCTGTTAGACATTCATTCTCAACTCTCAGGATGGACAAGGCTAGCATCTTTCAGGACACTAAATGCCTTAGGAATTGCCCAGAAACGGTGTTAGAAAAAACAAAACAAAACAAAACAAAACACTAGGGCTCTTTCTAAATTTGAGCAGCCAACCTTTGATAAGAACCAACTCCCTAAAATCTCCTGGACTTGTGAATTAGGGCTCAGGTCCAAATGATCTTTTCAGGGCAAAGCCCACCCCAAGTTCCTCCTCCTAACCCCTAAGTTATGGTAGGCAATTCCAGTTCACTGACCTTGGGTCACGTGACCAGCGGCTTGGTCTTCCGGGGTGGGGGTATCTCCAATGCCTGCTTCTTCAGCTGGTGTATGTGTCAGCAAATGAAGGGGGATAAAAGCAAGACAGTTACTGTTTGCTAGAAACCAAGCTCTCTGTATCTTCTGGTATTTTTCCTAAAACGCTCAGGGAAGTCACGTCCCAAGAATACCAAGGTCCGACAGCTCTGACTTCTCTGCAGATACCACTGCAGATGCTGGTGATAAAAGTTCACTAAATAAAATGCACAAGACCCACATGCAGGCGTGGCCACAACCCGGCAGGAAAGACTTTTTCCATTTTGGGACTGGGGTCCTGAATGCCTCACTCAACAAGGACACACAGGATGAGTGAGGTCAGAGAAGCAGTTTGCTGCTGAGCCACTGTTGTGGAGGCTGTGTCTAAGCAGTGACTGTACCCAAAGTCCCAGCCAGTGCCCTAGGAGGGCGGGAAGTTCAAGGAAAGGCTTGGCCTGGGCTGTGGCGTCAGGGAGATGGGGTTCATATCCAGGCATCAGCATTCATTCAGCCTCTCTGAGCCTTCGTTTCCTCATCTAGAACCCCAAGATGAAGATATTAGTTTGTCTTATAGAAGGGCGGTGAGGGTTACCAAGAGAATTTGTGTGGACATGTTTAACCTCGTGCCTGGCACACGGTAGGTGCCCCTAACTATTGTGTTTCCTTCCTCCCAACTTCTGGGCAAATGCTTTTCACAGAATGTCCTGAACGGGTGCTACCTTGTGAGAGGGAGGTTGGCAGTACGGGTGAGCAGATTTGGGGGTGTCTTGGGCTCCTGTTTAGGAAGCCACAGCTCACCCCAAATAAGAAAGACAGAACGTTCCGGACCACATCAATAGCACCCAAATCAATATGCTTTAAAAACACCAATTTCTGCATCACGAACCATCAGGAATTGTCCAGAAGAAGAGTTTATAAGCCAAGTTGGGCACATTGACGTGCATTGACTTCAGGCCACCAGAAGCGCTAGCATTCCCTGGGGACAGTGTCAGAGGCCACTACTTCTGACAAATGCCTACACGCTGCTGGCCAGCCCATTGGTCTTATCTCCCAGGCCTGCGATGAGTCAGTCTCTGCATCTAAGACAGGAATGCCGGATCCCCAGCACCGGCCAGCACAGGCCTGGGTAAAGAGCTGAGGCATGGGAGAGGAAGGTTCTCGAGTTGCCTAGCAGCCACGTGGTAGCCTCAGAAACACCCAGGCCACTGGCAGTCCCAGGCAGCTGCTGAGGGGATGGGAGGGCAGGCAGCTGGCTCAGAGGGCTCCCATCGTTAGCACTAGTGTGACACAGACACCCTCAGGGTCCATCCGGCTGACAGTGCGCTGCCCACGAGGCCCAATGGGGACAGCACCTTGTCATGTGACAACATCGCTGAGCAAGTGTTGGCTCAACTGCCCAGGCACAGCTCCGAGTACGGATTCGGCCTGAGTTTCTGACAAGGTGATGGAAATGGCAGAAAGACTCAGAGCAACAGCAAGTCCAGCTAAATGCCAGAGTCCTTGAGACAGAGGACATGAGGAGGCTCCCTGGAAGTCCTCACTGCTATGGCACTGGCTGAGTTGCCTTGCCGTCACACACCAGTGCAGAGCTGCAGCAGCCAGCCCGGCGTGAGTCAGGAACTGGAGGCTGTGCAGCCTTGACCCCATCAAGGAGGGAGGGAGGGCATGGTGGAGGGAGGGAGGGCACGGTGGAGGGAGGGAGGGCACGGTGGAGGGAGGGAGGGAGGGCCCAGGGTGGAGGGAGGGAGGGCATAGTGGAGGGAGGGAAGGAGGGCCCGGGGTGGAGGGAGGGAGGGCACGGTGGAGGGACAGAAGGACACGGGGTGGAGGGAGGGAGGACACGGTGGAGGGAGCGAGGGCATGGCGGAGGTTGGGTGTCACATCACCGATGGCCTCTCTGTACCCTGGGAGTGTTTTACAAGAGCCAGGGGGGCCCTGTGCTCTCCAGCAAGGCAGGATCCTGCAGCGGGGTGGCCACACTGCACCGCGACTGGATGGGCCATGAGGAGTTTCACCGGCGCGCCAAGAACAGCAAACAGGATAGGCCAGACGAGGTGCCAACTGAGGTCTGTACTGGCGGTAGCTGAAGACACATGCACCCAACTCTAGAACCTCCCCGCCGCACGGAGGGCATAAAGGGGTCTTCCTTGGGGAGAGTGGCTTGGGGGTGACAAAAGCGGCTACCTGGCCATGCCCCATCACAGTCCCAGCACAACTGTTTCAAGGCAATATACTGGGACACCTGGTGTGTGTCCCCTCTGGTTAGGGACCTGGTGGACCCAGGTCAGGGCCCCACCAAGGAACACTAGAGGATGGAAGATGGGCTGGGCTTGCTTTGGGGGCAGAGCAGAGGACAGGCGCTGCAGCCCTGAGGCCCGCGCACGCACCCACAGTCTGCTCTGCTGGTGTGCTTCCCATGGACCCCATGTGGGGACAGGCCAGACAGAGGGCATGGGAGCCTCAGATCACGTCTAAGAGGTGGCCACCAGCAGGACCTCAAAGGGGAGGCTGCAGCCAGATCTTCAGACCCCCATGGGGCCGAGGAGAGAGGACACGGCCACCAGAATCCAGCGCAGAGGAAGGGCTCTTCAGGGGAGGCCAGCTGGAGATGATGGGCTGGGGGAAGAGTCTAGAAGAATTCAAATAGGGTCCCCATGAGGACAGAGAGAGAAAGAGTGTCTCCCTGACACCTCTGCAGCGAGTGTGAGGCAGCTCGCACCAGGACCAGCTCACTAACAACATTCCTGTGTCCCTCACCCATCCCCTCCCTGCCAGCCCCTCGGGGGAGCAGCCGCAACTCTGAATGGAGTTAGAAGCTTTGACTGTCACATGGGACTGGGCGGTCTACATGATTTGGCATTCGCACACTGTGTTTTGCCACTGTGGAGACTAAAGTACTTTCAATTACTTTGGAGTGATGGAAAAGTCGAGTTGTGTCGAGTTTTCATTCTGCGCAGGGGAGAGAGTTCCCCAGTGGAGTAATCGTGAGGGGAGGGGAGGAAAGTCAGGCTCCTGGTGATCTCATCCTGTGGGTCGTGCCACAGTCTTCAAACGTCCTTCACGCTCAAGGATGAGGCTCTTCCCCACCTTCAAGGACATCCCCTTCACCCATCTCAGGAGACCTCATCGATCAAGTCACAAAGCAGAAATGCACTCAGAAGGGGCCAGGGTGGGGCTGCTCTCAACACGCAGAGCCCTAGAGAATGCTGCAGGCTTCCCCAGTAGCTGCAGGGAGCACCATCTTTAGGAAACAAACCGCTTGCCTGGGCACATCTTCCCTGCACTCTATTGCTGGTGGAATCCTGTCTAGACCTCTTCTGCATTTCTTGTTGGGCAACTGGGCACCCTCCAAATCACCAAACCAATGGCTGGCATCTTTATGTAAGTGCAGGGAGGAAGACACGCAGGAAATGACTCCAGGAGCTCCAGGCTGGGTGGGCACTTCCTGGTGGGCTGAGCCACTCTTGGGTGACGGCGGCCTTGAGCCCAGCGCCCCGCCTCATCGGTTCCCCATCACCCGTGTTAACAAGGCATTCTCGTCATGCCTGTTCTACATGAATACATTTGAAAAGGAGACAGAGTCCCAGAAATGGGAGCTAGATCACGTGTCTCAGTGCCTCTGGGACCACCTCATTACGCTCACCAAAATGTGTGGTCCAGTCATCTGCATCCTCTGTGCACTCAGGTGATCTTGGGGTCTACCCCTTGGGTGGTGACCCTGCACCGGGCAGACTGAGCAGGAGGGTGGATTGACCTCAGGTGTCAAGAAGGCACGGGTCTGCCACCACCTGCCCCAGAAAATCCTGCAGAGAACTCTCTGGAACTGATGTGCTGACTGAGGCAAGATGAGGAGCGTCTAGAAGGAATCCAGAGGGCCCTAAGTGACCAGGGAGGTCACCAGGCACCGACACATCAAGCTACTCACAACCCAAGATTCTCAGAAGCCAGTATCCCCCCGTGTTCCTGCCTCACAGGGGGATAAACACACAAAGCGCCCTCACTCTGTTGCAGGTCAGCTGGGACACCCAGCAGGGTCTTGACTGCCCAGGGGTCTCTGGGGCTCACCCTCACCTGTGGTTCCTTCTGGGATCTCCGTGTGGGGTTGGGCAGCAGCCTGCTCGCCGGGAGCTCTCTCATCCACTAAGGGCGCTGTCACATCTGGAAACCACCGAGAACCACCTTAGAGGGGCCAGGACGAGCCACGCCTAGCCCCTCACCTTTGCTTCTTGTGCAGGAGCAATGCAGGGAGGGGGAGTGAGGAGGGAATCAGCCATTTGCGAGAAAGCAGCCCTGAAGCAGGGCTCGAAGCCCCTGCTGCCAGCTCCCCAGGAAGCAGGCTCACATGCTGCCTGATGGGACTGGCTCATGAACTGCCCGCTCACCCCACAGGAAAGCCTGGCAGCCCCGTGGAAATGCTGCCATGAAAGGGACTGCTAGGCATGGCCCCAGCCATTTTTAAAGAAAAAATATTGAAAACCAGATGATTGCTCACAGCTATTTGATCCTTAAGGTGAGAATAAAGACTAAGACAGCACAGGGACTCCAAGCTTAGGGTGGGGGGGTGGGGGCTATGGTTTTGCTATGAGGCTTTGGGTAAGTCCTTGGTCCATTTTGATTGGACAGTTTCCTCATTTGCAAAATGGGAGTGTCATCTCTAGGTGACTTCCGAGACTTCTACCAGCTCTAACCCTTATCTCCAATCCCCTGACCCACAGTCCAAAAGTGCAGAGTCCCCTATATGGCCATAAATAGGATCAGTCCTGTCCAGATTCAGGCATTTGACTGTCAGGTGGGTCCACCTTCACAGCAGAGGCAGGAGTGAAAGCTCTGCCACCAGGAGCTACTATCAATTTCTCATCAAGAAGAACACTTCCAAATCAGCGCTCCTCCTGAGCAACGCCCTGGCACACTCCCAGGCCATTCCGGGTACACATAAGGAGTTGTCAGCTTTGAAGGCTTTCCAAGTTCAATGAAGGGCATTTTAATTATGGTTGTCTTGGGTGCAGGTGGAGCAGCCAGGCAAGAGTCCAGCCCCAGCAGGGCTCCCTCCACCAGGGGCGGGAGCCAAGGCTCTGGAGTCTCACACCTGCACAGGGTCCAGGGAACATCAAGACTTGTCCGGGAGATTCTTCTTCCTGTTGAGGGAGAGCACTGAAAGCCAAGACTTGGGAAGCATGGCATGAGGCCTGGCATCGTTTGGTAGGACTTTCTGAGGATGGCAGGCAACTTGCAAAACCGTCCCGACAAGATAAGCAGGAAATGTCTTGCATCGCTGGCTCTAAGAAGGAGAGCCAAAAGAATTTGACCTGGATATTCTCACGAGGCTAAGAACCTCAGCGGTAAGACCCACGCCTGCTGTGTCCTCCAAAGATACAGCATTATACCAAGCAACGGGCAGGCACCTGACAGCCACTTTCCGAATTAATCCAAAGGTGGGTGCTTGGGGAGACACTGGGGCCAGTTTTTCACCCAGAGACCCAAGATCCAAATGAATGTGCAGAGCCTGAGAAGTGCTGAGAAAGGAACCTTGAACCTTCCTGGGGAGGATGGAGAGATAGAGGGGCAGATACTGCCAGCTGGTGACTGGAAAGCCATCATCAACATTCTTCTTTGATTTCTTCTGCTAAAGAGGCTGGAAGGCAAAATGCTCAATGTCTCAGCCTTGCTTGCAGCAAGGGATGGCCATAAGACCCAGCTCCGGCTGATGAGACGTAAGTAGAAGACTGCCATTTGCAAGAAAACTCCTGCTTTCCTAATAAAAAGGGGACACATTTGGTTTCAGGGCCCTTTTGGCCAGTTTACTTTGCAACTTGATCCTGCTTCAAAGGCAGCTGTGATGGCTGGAAGTGCAGCAGCCACTTTGTAACCATGAGGCAACAATCCAACCACTAAAGATGACAGAGGATAAAGACAGATAAAGATCATGACCCTTGAGGTCATGATCCTTGAGAAATGACCCTTGAGGTACTGCCCAAGTCCATGCATCTGATTATGTGAGACGAGTAAATCTCTTCATGTACATGCCACAGTTAGTGGGGGTTTCTGTTTCTTAGAGCGAAATAGTCTTGACTGATACAGATGGGAAGCAAGAGATGATGACCAAAATCGGGACTGAGGAGCATGACAGGAAGTATGTGAGGGGCAATAACCTAGATGCTGACTGTCCAGAAAGGACAGTTTAGGAGCAGGGCCAAAGTCCAGAGGCCCAGGCCACGCCTAGAGCCCACAAAATGAAGGTTACTACAGCAAGATCAGATGTGCACTGCCCTGCCCCTTCCCTCAGCCAAATGGCTGCTCTGGGACCTGCTGGCCCCTGAAGAAACAGAGAGGAGGGGGCTTTTGAAGGGGGTGTGGGAGGACAATCATATTGAGGGGTGCTTTATAAAGGTGTGTGTGGGACTCTGCAAGCACGGCTGCCTCCAGAGCACACATGGATGAAGGTGCCCACACTCAGCACCCGCAAGCAAGGCATCAAAGCAGGGCTCTGCTCCCGCCCACTGTCCTGCAAAGCACTCAAACAGTGAGCACATCTCTCAGCCAGGGGGAGGGAGCAGCAGATGCAGCCGGGAGGGAGGCTCAAAGCACAGCTAAGCGCAGGCTGGAGGCATGGAGGGGCGTCTGAAGGGAGCCATGGGGTGGGCCCACCTTCCGCCGTCGGAGTGCTCTTAGCATCAGAGGTTTCAGAGCCCAGTTCCTCAGATCCGTCCTCTGCAGGGGTCTGTAGGGGAGATTCTGGAACACACACAGTGAGCCCTCAGAACAGCGGCCTCTCCCAGGTGCATCCTTTTGATCTCAGGAGAAACTGGGGAGGCATGTCTGGTGGAGCTGAAAATCCTTCCGCGTGGAAACAGTTGGAACACGGCCTTGTGACACATCCACCAAGGGGACCAACCGTACCTCCCTCCCTGCCAACATGTCTGTGCCCCACATCAGGGACATCAGACAAGGACGCAGGTGATGTGCATTTGCTCCTGGGTGAGAGGAGAAAGTGTCGCTTCACCAGCTAGTGGTGCCACCTGAGGCAAAGGTTTATCTTCCACTGATCAACGGGCAGCAAATACCAGAAAGCTGAGCCACAAATGAACCTTCTGCTTTGTCATTGCTTTGTCACGAGTAGACACCTGGAAAAACACTCAGCGATCCAATCCCTTCTTTGGAAAAGGAATCAGCTTAGGGCACACGGCGCCTACTTCTAAGTGGATGTTGGGCTGTGTTTGGACTCCACCCAGCTCCCTTCATAGAAAGATCTCCAGTGACTGATGGACAAGTTGTGAGTTACATTTGAAATGGCAGCCATGGGTACCTACAAGAAAACTTTCCTTTCAGAGTCAGAAGCCTGGGCGAGGGAGGCCCAAATGACCACATGGTTGACAGTCACATTGTCAACCAAGAATATCCTTAGTAAGGCGGTTTTCGTTGGCTGAACAGAAATGAAAAAACTACCGTATCCTCTTGGAAGGACTCAACTGTCCCCTCCCCTATGGTACTTTGGCCACTGGGAGTCACTCTGCCCTGGTTATTTTATGGGCTTATCAACACTTCACGAAGTATTGGGGCTGAGCAGGCCAATGCCTTACACTACGGAAGGCGGAGACTTTTTAAAAGCCTGATATGTACACAGCTGAGTGCTAGGTACTGGGAAGGCACAAAATGCTCAGAAGACACAGCCTTCGCTCCTGGAGCACATGCTCTCCTGAGGGAGGATGGCCACACAGAGCAAAAGACTCCAGGGCAGGCCCAGGGCAGCCGATGGGCTCCTTCTGGAGGTTCCCCACCAGGAAGTGGGAGTTGCAGGACAGAGAGCACAGGACCAAGGGTCAAGATGGCTATGGGTGCAAGTCCCAGGTCCACTTCTTTCTAGTCAGGTGGCCTTGGACCTGCCTCTCAGGGCCTCTGTTTCCTCATCTGTAAAATGGCTGAGATGACCTCAACTCTACCCACCTCCTCCTAGAGCTTCTGGGAGGATCCTATGAGTGAATATTGGTAAAAGCACCTTCAAAGCATGAGGATTTACATGTGTGGACCTAGTCCTCTTTGATGTCAAGGAGCCAAGTGTTCATGTGGGCAACCTTGGGCTTCCCTTCAGCTCAGTCCCACCTGCGCTGTCCACGGGGAACCACTGTAGGAAGTCATGGCTCAAATCACGATGGCTGGGTGGGTGGATGGGTGGATGACTGGATGAGTGTATTACTGGATAGGTGACTGGATGGAGGGGTGAATTATTGAATGATTAGATGGATGTATAATTGGATGTATAATTATATGGATGGATATGTGAATTAATAATTATTAGGTGGATGTATGAATGTATTATTGGATGGAGGTATAATTGGATGTTTAATTATATGGATGGATGTATAATTGAATGGTTAGATGCATGTATGCATGTATAATTGGATCTATGACTGATTAGATGGATGGATAAATGGATGGATGGATGATGAATGGAGATGTATAGAAGTATAGATAATGTATGTTTGATTGAATGGATAATGGGATGGATGGAGGAAGGAATGGATTAATGATTAGATGACTGGATGAAAGGATGAATGATATACAGATGTATGGTTGGATGTATGTTTGATGGACGAATGATTGATGGATGGAAGCATGGACAGATAAATGGATAGATGGATGAGCTGGATGTATGATTGGATATATGTAAGATTGGATGGATTATAGGTTGGATGAAGGAAGGGATGGGTGGATGGATGGAGGGAAGAATGGATGACGTACAGATATATGATTGGATGGATATATAATTGGATGGATGATGGATGGGTAAAGGGATAAATGGATGGATGGATGGATGGTGTATAGATGATTGATATATGTATGATTGAGTGGCTGGAGGACGATATGGACAGATGAATAGATGGATGAATGGATGGATGTGATGGGAACATGTAAAGCTTCCATCAAAATTTTGGAGTTCTTCACCAGTACCTCTTAGTCATCTTCCCTCAGCATCTCTTATGCCTGGCACTGCACGCTCAGAAAAGCCTCTCGTCTTCCCCATGGTGTCTCAGCCATCACATCAATGATTCCTCAGTTCTCAGCTCAGTGAACTCACTCCCCTCCGTATGACAGAAATTCCTCACTCTTCATGCACATGGTGGCTGAATGGGTTCCCTCTGCTAACTGTCCTATTCATGGCTTAGACTCAAATCTGGAAGACTGGAAGATAGATCAGAGCCTCTAGAGTCAGGCAGATGGGGCCCAAATGCTGGCTTCACCACCTATTGACTGTGTGATGCTGAGCAAATTACCTAACTTCCCTCTGCCTCAGTTTTCTTCCCTGTAAAATGGGAATGGTAGTAGCTCCACTTGCTCACAGGGCTTCTGTCGGCATGAAACTGCTGAATGCTTACTTAAAGCACTTTGTACCATGCCTGGCACGCGAGAAGCCCCCAATAAGTGGCAGTGATTATTTTTAGTCATTATCATGTCACCTTGGTTGATGGGCCCAGTGTAGCACTGCTCACGCTCACTGGCAGGAATTTGAGTACTTTATTTAGTGCCGATGGTGATGACACAGATATCGACTGGGAATCCTGGAGGGCCCCTAGCAGGTAGCTGACCATTGTTCCAGCTGGACAAAGTGGCTCTGGTCATGTGAGGAAAAGTCAAGCATCACTTTGTAGCCACAGCCCACATGAGATTAATACTCCATCAAGCACATGGGGACTTCTAGTCTGGAAATTGCAAACACTCCCTCTGTGGCACAGACTGCTGAGGGTCCACCTGGTGTCCATTCTCTCCATCCTCCTTGGGAACAGATCCCTGATATATAGGACAGGGCTGTGCCCAGTTAAATGGCCACATCTTACAGCCTCCTGGGCAGGAAGGGGTGGCTGATGAGACCTAAGGGAAGTCATTGGATAGGAAGTCCAGGATGTCTGGATGGGAGGGTGGGAGGAGCTCAGCTGGGAGGGTCTCCCTTCGTGTCTGGCTCCCCTTCTTCATTTTCCAGCAGCCTTTCTGAACAGGAGACATCTTGAACATGGAAGTCACATGCTCAGAATGGTGTGGGAGGAACTGGCCAGGGTCATGAAGGACAAGTTGATGGTGCTGCCACCAACAGCAGTAGAGAAATGAGGAATGGCCCAGGATAGGGGAGGACGGAGGTTGGTTTTTACTTGTTAGGTTTTGGGTGTGGCTTGGGCATTTGATGGAGTTGCCCCTTGGGTGACAGGAGGGATCTGTTGAACTCCGAGGAAGGCACTCCACTTGGGGTGGGAGTAATTTAGAGTCAGTTTCATGATGGGGCTGGTTCTGTGCATGAAGCAGAATGAGAAGATGCAACAAAGGCAAGTGAAGTTCAGGTGCACGGTGAGACCAGACACCCCACAGCTTCTGTTAAAACGCTGTCCTGGACACCTGACCCTGGCTCTGCCCATCCCACAAAGAACAGCTAATCCTAAACCAGCTTCCAGCACGAACAGAGCTCTTGGTCCTGGAGCTTGCAAGAGCCTGCAAACTGCCTCAAGAAGGCTTCAGCCAAACGGCGAGGCAGCATCACGCTGACTGTCTCCTGGGTTCTGTTACGTTTCCGCCGCCTTGCCTGCCAGGGCACGGGAGCATTTACATGAGCGTAAAAGCGCTCCTTTCCCCAGCCCGTCCCCAGCCTGAGCCTACAGTCCTTATCATTTGCACTGACCTCCTTGTTAAATTCCTTGGAGGTAGTGAAGGAGGAGGAAGCCTTTTTTGCCCATCTTATCTGGAGGGCATAACAAGTTAACTCATCAACACCTTTTAATCCATCAGGGTGCATTATTTTATCAGGTAACCAACTTGCCTCCACTTTTTAGCTTTCCTGGGCGGGTGTCCAGCCACATTTCCCTCTTAGCATCCGCTTAGACACTCTCTGCTCTGCTACTGAATGTGCAGCTTCTTGTCTTCTGTCACTTATTTAAAATGTTGTTCGTAAAGTGACACCTTCTGCCAAATCAAACCTGTCGCTCCTGACACAGAAACAGCTTCTTGTAAGCCCTCAGCAGTGAGAATTAATTTGATGAGGACTATGAACACCTTAAGTATCACTTGCTTTCTTGGAAAGTATATTCTTTGTGTAAGCAAATTGTCTTCAAACGCTTTCCTTTCAGAGCAATTTCAAAAAAGTTGCTGCTTTAAATGCTGCATTTTTACATACAGTATATATAGTGCATATATATACACACACACATATGTTTTGGCACAGAACTCCTGATCATGTTTTATGTGAAAGCATTGAATCGTTTTAGCAAACATATTTTAGGCAACTCTGAAACACAAAATAACTTAGTGAACTTGTCCTTATTTTACACATTACATTTAGTTTTCTCTTCAGAAAATAAGAGTGGTAAAACTCACTTCCTTCCTGGTCTTTATTTTTGTTTTTTGAGACAGGGTCTCCCTCTGTTGCCCCGGTGGGAGTGCAGGGGTGCCATCACAGCCCCCTGCAGCCTCAAACTGCTGGGTTCAGGTGATCCTCCCAGCTCAGGCCCCCAAGGAGCTGGGACTACAGGAGAGCACCACCACACCTGAGTAATTTTTGTATTTTTTTTGTAGAGATGGGATTTCACCACGTTGCCCAGGCTGTTCCCAATTTCCTGGGCTCAAGCAATTCACTTGCCTCAGCCTTCCAAAGTGTTGGGATTATAGGCGTTAGCCACCACACCTGGTCTCCTGGAGTTTATTTTAAATAAACTTGTTATTTATTTATTCTTTTGAGACTCAGTCTCACTCTGTCGCCCAGGCTGGAGTGCAATGGCATGATCTTGGCTCACCGCAACCTCCACCTGCCAGGTTTAAGCAATTCTCCTGCCTCAGCCTCCTAAGTAGCTGGGATTACAGGTGTGTGCCACCATGCCTGACTAATTTTTGTATTTTTAACTAGAGATGGGGTTTCACCATGTTGGTCAGGCTGGTCTCGAACCCCTGACCTCGTGATCTGCCCGCTTCAGCCTCCCAAAGTGCTGGGATTACAGGCATGAGTCACCACGCCCGGCTATGAACTTGTTATTCTGGAACAGTTTTAGATTTACAGAAAACTTGTGAAATTAGTACAGAAAGTATATCCCACATCCAGTTCCCTTGCCGTGAACATCTTACATGATCACGGTACATCTGCTGCAGCATAATACATATTTTAAACTTTCTCTAAGCCAGGCTGCCCTGCCTCGAAATAGAATGTCATTTTTCACTGGCACAATTCATGGGAGGCATATGTTGTGATTCTAACTTAGATTCCACCAAGAGAGTTTAAAAACTGAAATTCCAAGGGGCCTTGTGGCAAGAGTGACAAGGGGGAAATATGGCCCATGCGGAGCTGTAGCCGTGGACCTGCTCCGGGAACCCACGGGCTGAGGATGAAGCTCCTTTGCCATCTGGGAAGCGGACGTGATCCACCCTCATGGGCTGTCGTGAGCATCAGTTGAGACCTCTGTGGTAAAAGCCTGTTGCCAACGGTAGAGTACTACAAAAATGTCCCAATTAGCATTCTGAGGTAGTTCCCTTATAAGTAGGGTGGCATTTACTACCACCCAAATCAGGACAATTGAAAGAGAAAGCAGCAATATATATTTTTTTATTTTTAAGAAGGAGTTAGCCGGGCCTGGTGGCTCATGCCTGTAATCCCTATACTTTGGGAGGCTGAGGTGGGCAGATCACAAGACCAGCCTGGCCAACATGGTGAATCCCTGTCTCTACTAACAATACAAAAAGTAAACAGGTGTGGTGGCACGTGCCTGTATGCCTATAGTCCCAGCTACTTGGAAGGCTGAGGCAGGAGAATTGCTTGAACCCGGGAGCCTGAGATTATGGTGAGCCGAGATCATACCACTGCACTCCAGCCTGGGCGACAGAGCAAGACTCCGTCTTAAAAAAAAAAAAAAAAAAAAGAGAGAGAGAGAGAAGGAGTCTCATTCTGTCGCCCAGGCTGGAATGCAGTGGCGTGCTCTCGACTCACCGCAACCTCTGCCTCCCAGGTTCAAGTGATTCTCCTGCCCAAGTAGCTAGGATTATAGGTGCCCGCCAACATGCCCAGCTAATTTTTTGTATTTTTAGTAGAGATGGGGTTTCACCATGTTGGCCAAGCTGGTCTCCAACTCCTGATCTTGCGATCTGCCTGCCTCGGCCTCCCAAAGTTCTGGGATTACAAGCGTTAGCCATCACACTCAGCTGAAAGCAGCACTATTAGTGATGACACAGAACAGATGGGCTGGGATAGGCTGGGACACCCACGCCCCAGTCCTGGGCACCTGATGAGGGATCTCGATCTCTTTGTCAGGAAAAGAGGCAAAATGTGGCCCCCAATCCCAGTCTCCCCCAGTAGTACCAACTGCCAGGGGGCAGCTGGGAGAAAGTGGTTTCAACAGGCTAACCTTCGGAGTTGAGGTCTTGGGGGCTACCACCCCTCACTTAACACATCCTGAGCACCAGGGTGGAGAAGAGACAGGGAGGCAGGGTGGAGGGAAGGAGAGGGGGAAGGGACAGGAAACAGCAGAGAAAGAAAAAGATGGAGTGGGGAGAGAAGGAGAGGGAAACTGGGATAGGAGGTGGAAAAATGGAGTGGGGGGGACACACTGAGGAAGGGACTGAGAAGGTTTTATTTATTATTATGATTTGACATGGGGGTCTCGTTCTGTCACCCAGGCTGGAGTACAGTGGTGGGATCACAGCTCACTGCAACCTCCACCTCCTGGGCTCAAGCGATCCTCCTGCCTCAGCCTCTTGAGTAGCTGAGCCTATAGGCACATATCACCATGCCCAGCTAATTTTTAAAATTATGATCTGTAGAGATGGGGGTCTCACTATGTTGCCCAGGCTGGTCTGGAACTCCTGGGCTCACGAGATCCTCCTGCCACAGCCTCCTAAAGTGCTAGAATTACAGGCATGAGCCACTGTGCCTGACCTCTAAGTAGAATTCAAAGGAGAAAACAGATCTCCTAGCTTGGAGCCTCTCAGCTGCCCTCCCTGGGGAGCTGAATCTGGCAGCACTGGCAGGAGCTGTCAGAAAGCACATTTCCATCTTTCTATCACCACATGATGGCTGACCTGAGGCAGGGAGGCTGGGCTCGGCTGCATTCCCCCTCTCCCTCTCGCCTCCCCACCCTGAGCTTCTCAGACGCCTCTGAGCAATTCCCCCGCTCCTGAAGAGTGTGCCCATGTCTTCCTTCACCTCCCCTCACTTTCCTAATTCTCAGATTCCTCATAATCCAACACCTTCCCTGATTCCACAGATAGAAATCTGAAACGAGCCCCCCAACCAGTCCTGGGACTTCTCCAAGCTGGGACAGCCACTCCCTACGAGAGAAAGCCGGTCGTCCCAGCCTCCCACACTCAGGGGCCCTCCTGGCGACCCCACCCACTCCAGGGATCTTCCCAAACAGACATACCCAGCAGAGGTTACTTCCCACCTTGGAACTCCATGGCTTCCATCCACTACCCATACCCTGGGCTGCAATGTGGTTTCTTATTTTTAGCATTAAAAGAGAAAAGAAGACTGCCATTTTGCTTCCTTGGAAATGGGCATGGAGGCAGGGACTGAGCCCATCTTGCCCTCTGGCTGCACTGTGGGCTGTTCTGTGAGCACTCACTGCCAGCAACACCCGTGGAAAGAAGGGCTCCTTGCAGCACAGCTCGGCACCCTTGAACCAACCTAGCGCTCCAGCAGTGGGTAAAGGGCCAGCATGGAGAGACAGAGGAGGACTGTGTGCTCTGTGTGGGGTCCCCAACCATGTGGTCTGACAGTGAAATGAAACACATTTCATTTGGAAAGAGCGAAGAAGAGGCCGAGGCAGTTTGGCCAAAAGACGGTATTATAGAATATTTAGAAGCTGATGCAGTTTATTAATGTGGCTACAGTAAGAATCCCAGGGCTAACCAACTCTTGCTCAAGAGAGGCCAGGAAGGCCTGATCTAAGGAAGAGATAAAAAGCAATGTTTAAAGTCACATGTTTTACATGCTGAGCAATACCACTGATTGATAAGCTAACAGGTGTGTCTAAAGCCTCAAAAAGTACCCTGTATCGAGAGACTGACGAGCCCCTGCCACCTTTGTCTGTACATTCACTCATGTGGCTACCTCAAGGTAAATCTCATTTTTTTTTTTTTTTTTTTTTAAGACAGGGTCTTGCTCTGTTGCTCATGCTGGAGTGTAGTTCCATAATCACAGCTTACTACAACCTTGAACTCCTGGCTTCAAGTGACCCCCCTGCCTCAGCATCCCGAGTAGCTAGGACTATAGAGGTAAAACACATCACCCAGCTAATTTTTAATTTATTTTTTTAGAGATGGAGTCTTGCTGTGTTGCCCAGGCTGGTCGCAAACTCCTGGCCTCAAGGGATCCTCCTGCCTGAGCCCTCCAAAATCTGGGATTACAGGCATGAGCCACTGTGACTGGCCATAATCTCACTGCTTGAGTTATCTTGGTCCACTGAAATTAATGAGGCTTCACTCTACTGATAGTCTAAGACAACAATGTATTTAAAACTTCTTTACAGTTCTGGATGCAAACTGTTCCTGTCAGCCCTTGGCTGGCAGTGATCCTAAGTCTGCTGTGCATGGCTGTCCACTAACCTTTCAGGCCAGTGTCCGTGTCACCCTCTTGGTCTTGGTCCTCCAACCCATACGTCCCAGCGTGATCTTCCATCACATCAAACTCCTGGCGCGGCTCAGCCATCCTGGTTCAAGGCTCACCTGTGGAAAGAGAGGAGGATAAGTTCTGAGGAGTGCTGGGGGCCGAGTGGGGGTGTAGAGAGAGAGGAGCCCCACCTCCTAGTTCGTGACAGGCAGATCTCAGCCTCCCTGCCACCCACTCCAACAGCTGGATGCCCATCCTCATCCCGTGCTCCATACTCCTGCCCAGGTGTTATTTACATCTTTCGGCATGCTTAATTTACCAACACCACATCAGTTCAGGTTCAAAACTACCAGGTGAGGGCCAGGCATGGTGGCTCACGCCTATAATCCCAGCACTTTGGACGGCCAAGGTGGGTGGATCACCTGACGTCAGGAGTTCAAGACCAGCGTGGCCGGATGTGTGGTGGGCGCCTGTAATCCCAGCTTCTTGGGAGGCTGAGGCAGAATAGCTTGAACCTGGGAGGCGGTGGTTGCAGTGAGCTAAGATAGCACCACTGCACTCCAGCCTGGGTGACAGAGTGAGGCTGTCTCAAAACAATGGCAAAAACAAACAAACCCACCAGCTGAGGCAGGTGAGGCGGGCCTGACTTGTTATTCCCAGCTCTCCTTCCTCTTCATTAAAAAAAACCAATGCTGCTACCTAGCAGTTTGCTTTTTCTCTTTAATAGTGAGGGTAGGACTGAACAGGAGAGGGGTGGCATCATCAGGGGATGCCTGGTGAGGAAAATGAGGCATGGAGGTATGAAGGGATGGTTCAATCAGCTGGCAGCCGGCAGCAAAACCAACACTGGACCGATCGGGGGTGTCCTGACTCCTCCAGCTCCGAGCTTGCTGGCTTCCCTGGAGTCAGACTGTGGTCCCCACTCATTGTGCTGGCACCCATCAGGTCCCCCAGGTGTGCGTTCCAAGGGTGGCTCTCCCGGTGGGCTGAGAAGCACCGCACAGGGCCTGGTAGGGGCACGAGGCTTCGGATCTGAAAAGCAACATGCCCCTTTTCCCCCAAAAGCCCCAGCAGAGATGCAGCTTCAGCTCTGCAGAGGTAGCTAGAAACCGCCACTCACTCACACTTTGTCCTCATCTTTATTGTGAATTATTATTATTATTATTATTTTAAAAGTAACTCGTAACTTTGAATTTCTGAAATTTTTTTTTTTTTGAGACAGAGTTTTGCTTTGTTGTCCAGGCTGGAGTCCAACGGCGTGATCTCTGCTGAATGCAGCCCAGGTAGGCCATCCAGTTCAGGTTGTCTCATTCAACCTGCAGGTAATGCTTTGCGAACACGAAGAAGTTTAATGAGCACGGTGGTTTGGTTCTTTGGATTTGATCGATTCCTTTCAATGACCAAGTTTCTCCTCTTGGGACATGGTGGACAGAGGTGTGAAAGTACAAGTAAAAATCGGATGTGCTGGCTTTTCTTACACATTTGCATATTCTCATATTCATAGCTCATGGCTATAGGAGGCCCGAATTTTTTTTTTTTTTTTTTTTTCTCCCCTGTGAACAATCCAGAACAAATACTTTGTGGCTTTTTTGCAGGGAGGAGGGATAGGGTCTCATGATGTTGCCCAGGCAGGTCTCAAACTCCTGGGCTAAAGTGATCCTCCCATTTCCGCCTCCCAAAGTGTTGGGATTACAGGCATAAGCTGCCACCATGCCTGACTCTATCCATATTTTGAGTAAAACAATACTTTGCTATTTATTGATGAGAAAAGTAAGACAATCTTATTATAGAAAATGTATTTATACAGAGCAAGATGGGAAGAGAAAATTATCCCTCTGCCCAGAAACGATTACTGCTGACAGCCTGCCATACCAGAATCTGACAGTCACAGACTCAGTTTTTGGAACTTTGGTCCATCATAAGTGACGTGAGACTCCAGGGCAGGCAGCACAAGCCATCTGGCTGAAGAATAAATTTGAACCCTTCTTCCCCTATGGGGGCTGTGTGGGATTGAGGCACTTAGCAGGGAATGAGCCCAATCCTCCCAGCTGCCTGCCCCTTCCCAACATGGCTGTGCTGTTCTCAGACCTCCCGGGGCACACAGTGACTCTGATGAAGAGGCAAAAATGCGACTGCTTTGTGAAGAATGGCCTTGAAGCAAAAGAGAACATTTTGATTTTGATCACATTTGAAAAGGAAGATACTTTGTGGTACCAGGGCTTGGCTTCTAATGAACGTATAACAGGAAAGATCAGACACTTGCGCAAACATGCCTGCTTTCATGAATCCATGGATTTACAAAGGGTTGGGAATGCATGTCAAGGATCTGTGATATTCCCTTCTAGCCTTTTATTCTGTGCATTAAAAAATATAGTTGCAATTATGCTACTTGCTTTTTTCACATAAGATTATAGCATGAGCATTCGTTGGTCACTGAAAGCCTTTGTAACCATCGGGGCAGTAACTCCCAAATGTTCCTTCCTACATAGGTACCATCTTTTCCTAACCATTCCCTAATGGTTAGCACTGAAATGGCCTCAGTTATTGCAATATTACAAATAATGTTGCACTAAATATCTTTTTGAAAAACTTTGTCCATAGAAAATTTTTTTTTTTGAGACAGAGTTTCACTCTTGCCACCCAGTCTGGAGTGCAGTGGCACAATCTTGGCTCATTGCAACCTCCGCCTCCTGGGTTCAAGTGATTCTCCTGCTTCAGCCTCCTGAGTAGCCAGGATTTACAGGTGCCAGCCACTACACCTGGCTAATTTTTGCAGTTTTTGTAGAGACGGGCTTTCACCATGTTGGCCAGGCTGGTCTTGAACTCCTGACCTCAGGTGATCTGCCTGCCTCAGCCTCCCAGAGTTTAGGGATTACAGGCCTGAGCCACCATGCCTGGCCAACCTCGTCCATAGAATTTTGATAAGCATCACCAATTGCTTATCGGGCTTGTTCCAGGTGGTATGGCTGTAGACACCAATGGCTTTTCAGATGCAGGGCAAGTGCGTATGAAGTGTGAATCTTGTCAACACTGCATTAATCATACACCTAAATAAGTGCCAAAAAATGTTTGTGCTTATAGATGAGAAATGATGTTTTACTAATGTAAACTATGAACTTGGGTGATAATGATATGTTAATGAGGATTCATCAGTCATAACAAGTGTAGCACTCAGATGCGGGATGTTGGCAGTGAGGGAGGCTGTGCGTGGGGGCCAGGGAACATAGGAGAAATCTCTGTACCTTCCACTGTTTTGCTGTGAACCTAAAAGTGCTATGAAAAAGTCGATTAAATAAAAATATATATCCTAGTGTTGTTTAAATATGTGATTTTTTTCTTTTTTTCTTTTTTTTCAAGGTAGAGTCTTGCTCTGTTGCCCAGGCTGGTCTGCAATGGCATAATCTCAGCTCACTGCGACCTCTGCCTTCCAGGTTCAAGTGATTCTCCTGCCTCAGCTACCCCAGTAGCTGGGATCACAGGCACACACCACCATGCCTAGCTAATTTTTTATTTTTAGTAGAGATGGGGTTTCACCATGCTGGCCAGGCTGGCCTCGAACTCATGACCTCAAGTGATCTGCCTGCCTTGGCCTCCCAAAGTGCTGGGATTAAAGGTGTGAGTCACTGTGCCTGGCCTGATGTTTGAATTACCAATGAGATTAGGATCTTTTTCCTTACTCTTTTTTTTTTTTGTTTTTTAAGCCCGGGTCTTACTATGTTGCCGAGGCTGGAGTACCGTGGTGTGATCTTGGCTCACTGCAGACTCTACCTCCTGGGCTCAAGTGATCCACCCACCTCAGCCTCCTGAGTAGCTGGGACTACAGGTGTGTGCCACCATCGCACCCGGCTAATTTGTATGTTTCTTTGTAGAGGCGGGGTTTCGCCATGTTGCTCAGGCTGACGCTGAACTCCTGGGCCGGTGGTGGATCCAAGTGATCTGCCTGCCTTGGCCTTCTAAACTGCTGGAGTTACAGGCATGAACCACTGCACCGACCCATCCTCATTTTTTTTTTTTTTTTAAACAGACTCTGTTGCCTAGGCTGGAGTGCAGTGGTGCAATCTCAGCTCACTGCAACCTCCGCCTCCCAGGTTTAATCGATTGTCCTGCCTCAGCCTGCTGAATAGCTGGGACTACAGGCATGTGTGTGCCACCAAGCTCAATTAATTTTTGTATTTTTAGTAGAGATGGGGTTTCACCATGTTGGCCAGGCTGGTCTTGATCTCCTGACCTTGTGATCCACCTGCCTCAGCCTCCCAAAGTGCTGGGATCACAGGCATGAGCCACTGTGCCTGGTCCTTCTGCTTCATTCTTTTTGCTTCTTTGTTCAGGTCTCAATACTCATTCTAATAACTTGTGTGGGCTCTTAATTTATGTGTAACGGTAACCCTGGATCGTATTTGTGGCAACTATCTTCTCCAGTTGGTTGCCTTTTATTTCGGTTTCTGATGCTTTTTGATGGGCAGGCTTTATTTTTTATAAAGTCAAATCTGTTTTCCTTTGTGATTTATTCCATTGCTCTATGGTATATAAAGATTAGCCATTTTCTTCTATGCTTTTAGTGGTCTAAGTATTTATATTTAATTTATTAATTCATCTGGAATATTTTTAGGTTTAAGACTGAGTGAGGCTGAAAACTTACCTCCCCAAATATAACAGCTAAAGTCCATGGACCGAGACCTATTCGTAGACCAACCTGCCCTCTTCCCCAGGTGAATGCACCATATACTCTGTCCCATTTATCTGTCCTGATTTAAACTCTGGATCTCAAACCTTTTTCTCTAGGTGGGCTCAGATATCATCTTCTTTTTCAAAATTATTTGATCTTCTCGTAAGTTTTGTCTTCTAGATGTACTTTAGAATTTTTTTTTTCCCTGCATATTCTCAAAGTTCCATTGGGATTTTGGCTGGAATTGTATTATATGCCAAAACTACAAAAATTACTCTCTTCATGATATTTAGTTTTCCCACCCAAGAGCACAGTATGTGTTCTCTGGTTCCTGAGTCTCTCAGTTGGGGGTGGAATGCAGTCTGGCACCCTTCTTGTTACGGCCACGTCTCCCTGGGCTTTATGCTGCTTTTTTGAACGGGCCTCTCCCTCTCAACACGCGGAGGATTA